CAGGGTCAAAATGGCTTCTACAAGAATAAGTATTATATGTTCATTCATACTTGATGTTACAACCTGTTGAACCGATGATCTTGACGAATTCTGTATTGAAAATTTTGAGCAATTGAGATAAAGTACTGTAACAACTTATTATATTTTGAAGAGTTCTTTTATAACTTGTTTAGTCTATGATTTGGTCTCGTATAATTAATCTAGAAATTAGGCAACTTGTATGTAAATATTTTTAAAAATTTTAGAAACAAAATAACTGTTTATTATAGATAGAAAAGCACAAAAAAAAACTGAGAAAAACTTTATGGCAAAAATATTATTATTAACTTAATTTTTCCGCATAAATAAATGAGATTCATAAAAAATAAGACAACTACCAAAAAGATGTATTCACCATCCAACTTCCCATTTCTCCATCAACATATCTTCACCAGTCGCCGAATTCCACAGATAAATACCATCATTTTTAGCTGTCCAAACGCAATTTTTCCAACCGCATCTATGGAACAATATTACATCATCCCAAAACACTTTTACATTCATATGAACATCATCTTTGCTCATATAGCACCAAAACAAAGTTGAATGAAGCATATTTTCTCCAAAATTCCAAGAAAATCTATCTCCGTAACGCAGATTTTGTTCGCCTAAGTCGTCTTCTTTAGATTTACAATGGACGAAAAGATTTTCTGTGGTGATCAAACCGTTGGCCACCGTGACTTGCCAATCGGAGATCTTCGGAACTATGACGTCTTTCGTGGTAGTGTCGCCAGCTAAGACATGTTCTTGACGTGATAGGGCTAGATCAATATAAATGGCGAAGAGAAATTGTTTGATGTTATTCATACTTTTGTTTCTAATAGTAAATAGTAAACATTGGTGAAGAATGTATTTCTTTTTATAATGGTAGAACGAAACGGTAATTGACGTTTATAAATTATGAAATTATTGCATTACATTAATGGTGTGAGACATGGTATAAATCATTTACGTGATCGCGGGTTTAATTAGAATTGAAGGGTTGAAGCTTAAAGGTCGGTCACATATCACTAGCAATCATAATTAAGGCTAACGTTCGGCCCAAAACAACTCAAAGCATGTCTTTTAATGCCCACAATATTTTTGATATTTTGCCCACAATATTTTTGATATTCAAGGTCTTCAAATACATAAACAATGCTAATCAATAGTATATTATTTTCTCCCTTTTATGTGCTTAATTTTCAAATTAATAAATCTAACTTAATAATATACTATGTTTAGAAGATTATTTTGTCAGTGGTTCAAACCACTATAGGTATATGCTAGTTATGATATAAGGTATGCCAATCTTTAGACGTTTCGAGAGATTCGGAAATAGTCGGTTTCTCGGCGCAAAGCTTTGCTGATCTCTTATATATTAATTGGGGTATGATTTGTGAGAAGATACTTATGTGTCATCTCCACAATCACTTTCACTAAAACAATTGTGACATGGCTTATCAAAATTGGGACATGACAACTTTGATCAGTAAAAAATCTTATACAACTAAATTTAAAAAATCTTATACAACTAAATATATAATTGTTATCATAAATAAATCAAAAGTTTTTAATCAATATATTATCAGATTTTCGTTTTTATTCTAAAATTATATAAATTTTGATTTCTTATTTAAAAATAGTTTAAAAATTGATTATTGTAATAACAAAATTATAGAACATTTATATATAATATATATTATTTTTGAAAATAATAATAAAGACATACCAAATTTTAAAAAGGTTTTGATATGTTTGTAAAAAAACTTCCCAAGTTTATAACAACAAATATAATTATTCTTTTAAAATATTTTTTTAACGCAAGACAATTCTAATGTAATAAAAGCATTTTTTTAATTCGAAAGTAACATTTTTTTATTGTAATAATAAAATTATAGAACATTTTTATAGAATATATATTATTTTTGAAAATAATAATAAAGTCTTACCAAATTTTAAAAAGAGATTTTGATTTGTTTGTGAAAAAAACTTCCCAAATTTATAACAAAAAATATAATTATTCTTTTATAATGTTTCTTTAACGCAAGACAATTTGAAAGTAATAAAAATATGTTTTAATCTGAAAGCAACAATTTTTATTTTAATCTGTGTTTTATTTATAAAATTTATGATTATATATTTTAATGTTTAAAATATTAAATAATTTATATATATTTTAAATTCTACTTAAGATATTCGGACAAGCCAAATTTAACATGATTTTTTAACTCTAATGTATTAAATTATTATAAATTTTGATTTGACACATTTACATATAAAAAATAATTAAATGGTAAAAATAACTTTTTGAAATTTATATTATTAATAAAAATGATATTATTG